TTGTCATAGACTTCGGAAAGCTAAATGCTTGTAACGAAAGTCACTTAGCGTGCACGGGCGAAAGCCTGGGGCCGTTCGAGCTATCAAGCTGTCTCAAATCTGTGAAATCATAAATGTGAATTATACCGACGTCCTATCTGTGTCTTTTCTCCGTTATCACAAGGCTGTGAGTCACGTGATTGTAAAATGGGAAATATACGACGGAAAAGTGACGAAACGAAAGTATCGTGAGCGCGTATTATGATGTATGCATAGGCATACGTGGACTAGAGTGATAGAGGAAAGAGAAAGGGAAGAGCAGAGACGAGCGCTTAAAAAGGATAGGCAGGGTCACACCCTCAGATATGTGCGACGATTCTCGAACGAATAGGTGTGTACGTGTGCTGATATTTGTAATTATAAATTGTGAATACGTGTGACTAATATTATTTTCTTTATTTTGTGCATGTTAAAATTTATAAATAAATGTAAACAAACAACACTAACCCGATGACACTAAATTCAAATACCAAAATGATTAATTTACTGTGTTTTTGTTATTTCTTACTCCTGTCTTTAGGTATTCGGTATTTATAGAATAGTGACTTAAATATTCGGTATTCGGCCGAATAGCGAAAAATAAGCCGAATACCGAGTAGTAACTAAATATTCGTTACATCACTAGTTGATATTCTAATGGGTAGAAACGAAGCACCATGATCCCAGATTTGTTACCATTAATACTAAGACGATTTATACAGTAAAATTAATCATTCTGTGTAATCCAATTGCAGAATTTGCTAACATTACCAAATCATCGGCGTAAGTAAGAATCTTTACATCACAATCTTCCAGATCACATCCCGCTACTTCTAAAGTACACAATTTTTCAATAAAGGCGTTAATATACAAACTAAATAGAATTGAGCTTATTACAAATTTCCATTTGATCCTTCACGTGTAAAAAATAGATTCGTACTGATTCCATTAATAGTACAGGAAGTTTCTAATTAGTGTATAGTTGGATTAGACGATTAACAAATTTAAAACTTATGGCAACGTTTATGGAGGATTGGTATATAAAATATCTCTATCCAGAGAATCGAATGCCGATTGTAATTCTACGAAGAAGGCAGAAAGTTTGCCACGTTTTCTCCTCGACCGTTTTTGAATAAAAGTGTACAATACAAAAACATTATCCAAGGTTTAGGTACCAATCTGAAAAAGTCCAGTCAACTAACATACAGAATTTTACAGAATATGTTAAAAATAAAATGTAATAACTAAGGTTCGGAATTTTGAGTGCATTTTTAGAATGGATCGATACTCATTCGGGTACTTTTCTTCCGGTTTTGGATGCTTTTAAGTGCGGTATTATTAATATTAAAAATTAACAAGAAGTATTATATTTACAAACTATATAGTTGTTTATTGCAATTTACACATAAAGATGAGCGTTGTAGAGCTCTGTGGTCACTACTGGATCAGCGATCAGTTTCTTGACACTGTCGACAGCAGCAAAATCGCTTATTTCTAATCTGTGTGTTTTGCAAACTACTCATAACATCGTTGCACAATAATTGCTATAACAGTTATTCTAACTGTTACTTGACAATAATGTGCATTGCTTGCACATTGATCGCTTAGATATACTTGTTATCTCTGATTCGCGAATCTGATATAGGTGCGTAATGAGTCACGGGCAATACGCTTTATGCAGGGTATGACCAACAAGAATGGCCAATCAAGCAAGTAGAACAAGGTGTGGCTAACACCTTTTAACAAATCATGTTCAAGGAAATTTCCCAATGTTTTATTGGATAATAAAAAACCAATACATTTCGTGTTTTGTCTGTCAACTTGCAAAACGTAATCACTAACCAATAAATTGGAGAGTTTGGGAAAAGGAGAGGGGAAAGCTGCCATTCGTATATTAGTTCCCATTCTCTTTACATTATAATTAAGAACATGTAAAAGAAAATTAAAACATATAAAAATACTTATAACGTAAGTAGTATAGAATGAAACGAACGGCATATCATGTGATACCTGAATACTTATAAAATGTAACAGGTCGACTCAAATATAATGTGAATTTAAAAATGTGATAACATAAATTTGATTACAATGAGATCTGTTTATAAAATGATAATCTTTTTTTTTAATATATATATATGTAATGACGAAGAAGAGATATGACAACATTTTTTGCAAACTTGAACTCGCAAGAAATATGTAATCATTATACAAACAAGGGTATGTTTATTGCAATTTTAATTCATAAACTTTATACAAGTATAATTTAAAAGAAATCGATTTAGAACATGATAAAAACAATTTTATAACCGAAGCGGAAATAAATTATAAAAAATGTATTAAAAATAAACAGTTCTGACAAAACTGATTTATTAAAAAGCATGGACAACATTCTGTTCAATGAAATTAAACAGTAACGTTGACATCTGACCCACCTCCAACAAGGAAAGGAGTTTTTGTTTAGAGAGTAACGTGATACTTCGCGCGTTGTTGTCATTACCGGTGGGTGTGGGTGGCAGCTCACTTGACACTCTGTTGTGAAAGTAATAAACCTTAACCGACCTTGACAGACTTCTCTACTTACTAAGAATAACAAGTGGGGAGAAGTAGTTTAAACAGTCGTAAAACAATTGGCGGTTCATTAAAAAACTCTCCCTGTCTACTCACATTACCGCAAGAGCAATAAACAATTAACACTGGACTTTGAAATACGGTCAATTCCTATCCGATTACAAAGGAACCGACGACAATCGGTGAAAGTTGAGATAATCTATTGGCAAGAGAAAGCTGATCTGTTTATTTTAAAGCCGTATCGTCTCTAATTACAAGAAAATAAAGTAATTAAAACATTATAAATAAACAAAAGTATCAAAATAACAGATAGAATCATAATTTCTGATAATAAGGGCCGAGATTATACGATTTTAAAATAAAAACGGCAAACGCTAAGCGAACTGTACATACATAAATGATTATACATAAAATGTAGCAAAATAAATAACATATATACAGTAAAAACTGTAAATTTCGAATAGTGATGTGCCGGATCGTTAAAAATGTATATCCGCGGATACGGATACGGATACGGATCATTAGTGTCTAGATCCGCGGATGCGGATACGGATACGGATCTCTACTTTCGTACTCAGTCGGCGCCGGTGCGTGTGACCTTGGACCGATAGTTGACGCTTTGCATTAATAACGCGACGTATTTCGACTTGTGCTGCGCGTGTTTTGTTCATAGTGTGAAAGTGTGCTAAATTAGAGTTCACCACAAAGGCAGACAGGATAAAGTAACAAAAGTTGATATAATTTTCCAATTAAGCTATTTCGCGTCTTTATACAGATTCTATTTCGGGGGGATTCCAACTCCACGGTACAAACAGTAGCATGCGAAATTACAGCGATAATAATAGTTCGCTGTATCCAAAGCACGTGTACAATACAGATCAGGATCGCGACAATATAACCTGGAACCTTAAAACTAATCTTAAAAGAGCACTTACTTAACACTAATAACAGAAAAAGGGATAGAATTAAAAAGACAGAAAAAATGGTAGATAAGATAGAAATAGGGATATCTGGGGTTTTGTCCCTTTTTTAGGCTTGTTTCTTTATGCGTACTATTGGGTGGGATAACACACGTCCTTCTCCTATAACTGGCCACTTCTCTTCTACAATAATTAGGCTTTTTTCCTTCCACAGTCGTCAATACGACCTTAACACATGATCTTTTTTCTGAACTTATTTCTGAACTATCCGGTCATTGAAAATACGACTCCCAGTATTCTCACCTCGTCCGTACACTCTGCCGTCCGGTTTACGAATGACCTGCTACGTCACTTCTCTTTTTTCTCCGGCTCCTGCTTACACCTTTGCTCCACAAATTTCTAGGAACTGCTCATCCCACCCAAGGGACAGGGACTAGATAAGAAAGTTCTAGAAGAAAATAGAGTAGAACAAAGGGTAGAAAGAAGAAACAAAACTAAACTAAAATTAATATTTACAAAAATATAGCGTACCGCCACAATATAGTGCAGTGTTTCCCAACCTTTTTTGCGCTATGCCCCACCTAAGCCTTTCTAAAATTCTTGTTTCCCTAACATATACAGCGGCTATACAGTAAACTTAAACTCTGGACAAGTCCATTTTCGAATTGCCCTTTTTAGCAATCCAATTGCCCCCCTGTGGGGCGTGGGCCACATGTTGATAAACACTGGTTTGTGGCTAGTGTGACACGAGATAGCGTAGATTAGTCTGTGTTTTTGGAGAGTGTTGAGTTAAATTAAAATAAAAACAATGCCGACAAAAAAGTTTAGTAGTGTAATATGAAAATATTTTACAATAGTAAACGACGAATGTGCTATTGCAACCTATTTTTGAAATTTCATATAAGTAATGAAATTCATTAAGATAAAAGATCCGTTAAAGATCCGCTATCGTAAACGGATACGGATACGGATACGGATCTTTTTCCCCTCGGATATCCGCGGATACGGATACGGATACGGATATCCGGCACATCACTAATTTCGAATAAGAAGAAATCAAAAAATGGCCAGTTTGAGTTATGAATAAATTACAGATATTTCAGCAGTTACATGTAAAATTCTGTCTGTAATAATGATTTAGGTAAGTGGTTCATTACATAAATTATCAACTGGAATATTTACGTGATTAGAAATAGATCTTTGTTATTGTAAATCGCTTCGGCAGTTCGTAAATCATAATGGCTGCCGGGAACGAAAAACTCTGCTCTAAACCGAAATATGAATTATTGATAAATACTTAAGTTAGTTTTCTGCTAAATTAGAAATAGTAATAATCATGGTTTACTTATGCAGTTGTATTGATTTTATATTAAAGAATGAGCCAGAAATACTGTCAGAACTTAACTGCCGAGCTTTTCTTCACAAGGGACTGAAGGTGACAGGTTTTACTGTATTTATTATCTGTATTGTAGAATGAATAATACCTAATTCATCGCTATCCAGTATTTGATCGATTGCACCATTTTCTTTGTCAGAAGATCCATAAACTAGCGACATGATGAAATTTATTAAAACTGAAACTACAGTACATCGCAGTTAGTGTAACTTTGTTTGTTCAAGATATCAAAGAATTTTTGAAGTATAAGAGAACTTACCACATTCAGTGAGTGTGTGAAGCTCTTTTTTTAAATTTTTTAGAAACTTTTGAACTTTGTTTAGGTTCCAGTTAAGCAGGTCGTTTAGTTCCAAATAAATCTGAAATAAATAAACAAATACAACTCAGAAAACTTACAAAATTTAAATTTTGTTTTTATTCTCTAGTAGAAAGCTAGAAAATAGTATAAACTACAGAAAGGAGACTCGATGCATTGTAAAAAATGATAATAAATAATGCAATTAATTCATTTGCCTTTGTACCTTTATTAAACAATTTATTATATAATTGTCTACTAGGAAATATCTTATAAGTAGGACTTATTGTATCGATGTCATGGTTCTGTGCATTTATTAAACTTATACAGTAGAACCTCCATTATCCGGACCTCCATTATCCGGATTTTCGATTATCCGGATTGTTCAAAATAAACAAAAATTTTACGAATTTGCTGATTTGCACTTGGCGAATTACGACACTGTTTATGTACGTGATGGAATGCATAACTTTTTTTGTTTCAACAACGTCTCACCCAGCACAGTGGTCGTAAACTCTTAAATATATTTTACGTAGTAATAAAAATATAACTTGACATACGTATTTATAAATAATTTATATTCAAATTACATCATTTCTATGACCAAGGGCGGCGTAAGGCATGGACGACGTGGGCCACCGCCTATGCCTCGCGGTCCGAAGGGCCTCGCGCCTCGAAGGTTTATGCATTACTTAAAAGCCGCGAACGCGACGAAAAAATTTTACTCGTCATAAAACGATAAATAGTTTGTCAAATTTTTATTCATAAAAATGCAGTTTCAACTGCTTTTTATTTTATAAAATCCGTCTTTTTGAGCCACCAGAGGGCCTTTTAAACAATAGGTAGTCTGTTAGCGCTGGTCAGTAGTAGTCCAAGTTTAACACAAACGTTTATTTCTTGAAAATTTGATCACGATTTAAATACAGCATTTACTTTTAATATTACCGATATGTCATCGAAAAGAAAACGTGTTGTGTTATCATTAAAAGACAAATTAAAGTATTTGTTTCGATTATCCGGATTTTTCCTTATCCGGACTACCTTCATCCCCAATTAGTCCGGATAATTGAGGTTCTACTGTATATATATAATCTGTCTCTAGCAAATATATTGACTACACCGTGGCCGATTTTATACATCTCCCTCGTGTTTATTATGCTTTATAAAAGTTTTTTTAATAAGACCTTTCTTTAATAATATCACTCTTTATCGTAGTATTATCAGTAATAGAGCATTCAATGATAACACCGAGAAATAAATTAACTTTTCGGTAGCCATGTTTAACTTAAAATAAACAAATATATTTGTTATAATGGTAATTATGTTTCAAATATACATATTAAATGACCTTATTTATAATTTCAGCAACATGGAACGAACTGAAATGTAAAAAGCAAACTTCTAATATTGCTGCAGCCATAACGAAATTACACAAAAATGGAGTGTATAGTTAATAGAAAATATAAAATCGAAGAGGTAATTACACGTGTTTAGTCTTGTTTCTTATCTTAAAGTAAATGAAGAAAAAATTAATTACCTGATTATGCCATCCGACGTATTCCTTTCAACTCTTAGTTGACCACACAACTATTGTGTTATAATCAGAAAAAATAGTTTTTTAAAATATCTAAATTTAATAGTATTTTTTTCGTATAGAACAATATTTTTATGTAATTCGTAATTCTATGCTACAGTAAACAATACCCCTTAGTATTTAGATACAACCACCGAAACTAGTGTATTAATTAAACGTGTNTTATAATCAGAAAAAATAGTTTTTTAAAATATCTAAATTTAATAGTATTTTTTTCGTATAGAACAATATTTTTATGTAATTCGTAATTCTATGCTACAGTAAACAATACCCCTTAGTATTTAGATACAACCACCGAAACTAGTGTATTAATTAAACGTGTTTGTTTTTAAATGTCTCACTGGGCTATAATTTTGCTACCTTTAATGAATTTACAGTAAAAAAATCACTCACCCTTGAGATATTTTTAAACTGGGGAGATCTTGAAACGTGGAGAAATTAAAAATAAGTAAATAAAACTTGGGGGTGTTTCTGTTTCGAATATGAAGAACGTCATAAGATAAAATAACAGATAATATAGTTCTGTTCGCGAACGTAAAAAACTGTTTATCTGCTTATCACACGACTGTTGTGTTGTCTGTACCATTTTTATCGAGTATGTTTGATTGTATATCCAAATAATTTCTGCTTGATTAAATTAACAATATTGCTTTTAACTGCTTAATTGCATATAATTAAATACATTTAATTATTCATTTTTGCGTTTTATGTACACTGTAGTCCATATTATTTGTAATTGTAGCTTAATTGTAAGTTAAAAGTGAAAGAAGTACAGATTGAATACTGTACATAACGATGGTAATGCAGTTAGGGTTTCCACTTTTTTTCATATAATATGTACTATAATTGGGTGTTGAGTTCACCTCTTTGGAAGCAGAGTTAGCTATGTCATCAACGAAAGACGGTACTGTTTAAAGGATGGCATTTCTGTAGGATTTTTATAAAAATTGTCCTGGACTGTTTTATTATTTAAGTTTTTTGTTTAATTTTAATAATATCTGCAAATCGGAAGACATTCGAACTGATTGGCGTGTAAGTAAAATTATTTTAACGCACAATAAAGATTCTAGGGATCGTCCAGAGAATAATAGATGTAATACGTTATTACTAAGGTCCGGCTTTTTGGATGCTGACCCACTCGGTTTTTCAAAGTGGCAGAGTGTAAAAAGACAAACTAAATCGGTTTTGGTGCAGTAGGACCACTCATTACTAATTTGTTTAGCACCCAAATGCATCCAAAAAGCAAAACTGTGCCCAAAATGGTGACTAGCACCGTTTTGGAGGCAGGTTTTTCTATGAATGCAAATAGATTCACTGAAAAATCTGCAACACGTGTTTTCTTTATTAACCCTCTTTCCACAAGATGGTGTCGTATCCGACACGTCTTGTTTGTTTTCGTTTGTACAAGAAACAGCGCTAGTGTTGGGGGGTCGTGACCATAAATTACCCTATCGGGCAGTAGTTCTCAAGACAGCGGCGTGAAAAAGTAAGTCGTTTACCTTCAGTTCTTTTTATAATTTAGGTATAATGAAGTGCTCCGGTGTCTGATGCGACACCTTCTTGTGCTGTACGTTAACATTTTTCATCAGGTAGGAAAAGCCTAAAGAACTATTTCTTGATTATCTGTCGTTCTTTGGAAGGTTACTATGACAGAATATCAACGGTTTACTACACACGGAGAAATTCGTCAAGAATTGTTACGGCAACAGGGTGCAAATATAGATGACGAATACGAAAAGTTTGTTCCTAATTAGACACAATTTTGTATGTTTTGTACATATACATATTTTCTTTTTACGTATATTTATTATTTAAACCAAACACATCTAACTTATGTAAGGAAAAACAGTTTTTTAGCTAAGTGTCGTATACGACACCGTCTTGTGATATGTGTCTTGATATGCTACCTTGTAGCAAGAGGGTTAAGAAAAGAATCTAGAAAATTTTGTATTAAGGTCATTTCATCATGACTTTTGAGCGCAACAGTTCAAATTTCTTATGTTCAATGTCGGCGACATTAGAAAATGGCAAAATTGTCCGCATCTAAATTGGACATTTTAACAAATAAGTTTAAAGGTAAAGGCGTTCGCACAGACGAAAAAGTTCTTTGTGTTAGAAAAACTACGCGAAACCAGTTTATGATCAAACAAAATCTAAAATCCTAGACAATCCTGTAGTGTTCATACTGGAGTTAACGGTACGTGCTGAACATTGCTGTTGCACCACTGACAGGATGCTAATGTTGTTCAAAATGCGACTTGATAATATGAACTCAACTACAATGTCACAAGCTTTCAAAGTCGTGAAATTGTGCCCAAATGGTGATCAGGAGAAAAAGGTTTGGCTTGTGGTTACAAACATCTTACATGTTTTCAGCATTCTAAAATTTCACGCGCATTTACAACAATCTGTAGCATGTGACTTGTCTTGACACCGAGTATGTCAACGTATTCGTGTAAATTATAGCAAAGCCAACGGCTTCATTTCGAAAACGAAAATGGTTCTTTTTAAATGAGCGCTTGTATGTACAGTACTGTACACATTAACGACTTTTGAGCTTTAGCGGTAACATATACTATACAGTATACAGTATCTTTAAAATGTTATAGAGCTAAAGTTGGAAATATATGTGGGACGCCGGAAATATGACGAGGTCGTACCTCTTTTTGTCGGCAACAGCTTGGTGAAAACACCCACTTGTCAACGGATTGCTTGTTTACTAGTTTCGATTCCGAGGGGTCGAGATTCTTTTTCTCAGGTCGAGTGAAGAAGGTGAGAGGGATCGTCGTTAAGGCGTAGGCGAGATGCCAATAAATGACATTATTTAACAATTGAAACAACGGTTTATTAAATAACAAAAATTTACGATTACAAACTCTAACATCGAGAGATTTTAACTAGATTCGCTAGCTCTTAATACACGGAGAAAGAGTTCACATTAATTGTTTCATACCTCTAGTATAATTCCACGTAGAAGAAAATATTAATCCTTTTATTTTGTCGATCGACGCACAAAGTTATAAAGATCATTCAAGACTCAATCCTTTCCGACCAGCCGTAGATCAGAGACTTCTCCGTGGTGGTAAGAAAGAAGTAGCTTTTATAGCTTCGTGGTGGAAAATTCGTCATGTGTCAACTGTTGTGAGAGTTAAAGGTTGTTTTAACAGGTGAGGAGGTCGAAAGGTGTTCCCGGGAACACAACAAAATGACGAATTTGCACTTTAATTGTAAACTTTAAGTCCTGTAGCAGAAGAATGCCATTTGATGTGAAACTTAACACTATGGCCATACAAATAAACCTCGGCGCGTGTCAAACTCGCGACAATATTTATTGCTGAAAGTTAGAGGACAGGGTGCCTTCTAACCGGAATGGTCGATTGGTCAGTTGAAGTTCTCGTTGACCTGGATACGAGGGTAATCAGTTCAAAGTTCACGTTGAGTCTAGAAATCCTTTGTTTGGTGAGTTGGATGATTTATTGGATAAGGTTTACCGTTGGAATGTACGGATACTAACTGTTTTAGGATGTTGGAGAATCGTAGGTAAGTTGATAACACTTGTGGCTGGAAATGTTTTCCTTACCCTTCCTTCTGAGCGAGTTGAGGACACAGAAAAATCGGTTGTAGCGTCACGTGAGTCAGAAGTTTTCCTGTGAAGGTGACGAAGTTGCACTGTTCTTGTATTCAAAAATAAATGTTAGTAATAGTTTAGTTGCTAAAGATTGTCATTGAGTTCGGAATAGAGGTATTTAGATGGATACNAGCGTCACGTGAGTCAGAAGTTTTCCTGTGAAGGTGACGAAGTTGCACTGTTCTTGTATTCAAAAATAAATGTTAGTAATAGTTTAGTTGCTAAAGATTGTCATTGAGTTCGGAATAGAGGTATTTAGATGGATACGTCACGCGTTGGTGTACTCTCTCTCGGCATTCTACTTCTAATTATTTAAGAAAAAGTCCTACGAAAGAAAGATTTAAAAATTCTAAAGGTAATATTCTAACATTCGAATATATTTTATTATACTCTACGAATATACGGAAATCTATTTTTCATTAGAAAAATATAAACTAAGGAATAAAAGGATTAATATGCAGTTGTTGAGAGATCCTTAATATAATTGAACAATAGGCTTTGGGGTTAGCTGGGCTAAGTCGCCTCGGGACTACACTTCTCGGGAAGGGGTCGGTTCTGCTCGTGTCTGAGGTTGACCGGTTAGACTGAAGCAAAAGGTAACCAGCTAAAAAAGGTCTTAAACTTAATATTAACAAATAAATATAGATATATCTAGATGTAATTTGGCACGCTGAATCGATTGGTATTAAAAAAAATTACTTACGATCAACCGTTTAAAAGTTACGAACGATTTTTTATTTCCGGCTATTTGCTTCGTTTAATTAAGAACAACTTTATTAAGAAATACGCAGGCACTCATCGATATTAACAAAACGAGTTACTTTAATTCACCATAATACATTCCATCTACGAGAGAAAGCGACATTAAAAATGCTAAAATGGTGTCGTTAGCCCGCGAACACTCGTACACACGACAATGGTGTAGGGACAACTGATGCAGGGAAATTTTCCCTGCATCAGAAACAACATTAATGTCTTTAGTTCTTTATCACAAAATATCCGCTGTTATGCAAAAGGTCTCCAGCTTTAATTGCGTTTTATACGCATTTTTTCCTCACTGTTTCACATCTAGCAGTTTATACGGTATGCACATACTACACACTCGTCATTACAGCCTTCCTACGCCCATTTTATATCACTTATACAGCGACGGACGTTTTTACCCTAGATGCTGGCTGCTCTGTACTCCTACCATCACAACTGACTGTTTTCATTGTAAATTCAGTAATGGTAGCAAAAATCATAGGCCAGTGAGTCATTTAAAAAAGAAAAACGTGTAATCATTACACTAGTTTCGGTGGTTGTATGTAAATACTGAAGGGTATTGTTTACTGTAGCGCAGAATTACGAATTAAAAAATATTGTTTTATACGAAGAAAATATAATTAAATTTAGATATTTTAAAGAAATATTTTTCCTAATAATGCACAATAGTTGTGTGGTTCACTAACAGTTGAAAAGAATACGTCGGATGGCGTATCAGGTAATTAATTTTTTCTTCATTTACTTTAAGGTAAGAAATAAGACTAAATAGGTATAATTACCTGTTCGAGATTATATTTTCTGTAATTCTGTTCGAGATTATTTTTTCTGTAATTCTGTTCGAGATTATAAACTGTATATGCAAGTTTAATAAAGTCACAGAACCGGGAGACCAATACAATAAGTCCTACTTATAAAATATGTCCTAGTAGACAATTATATAATAAATTGTATAATAGGACAAACAAACATAATAATTAATTACATTATTTATAATTGTCATATTATAGAATTTATCGGGTCTCCTTTCTGTACTTTATACTATTTTCTGGCTTTCTACTAGAGAATGAAAACAAAATTTAAATTTTGTAAGTTTTCTGAGTTGTATTTGTTTATTTATTTCAGATTTATTTGCAACTGAACGACCTGCTTAAGTGGAACCTAAACAAAGTTTAAAAGTTTTTTAAAAATCTAAAAAAAAAAAAAAGCTTCAGACACTCACTGAAAGTAGTAAGTTTTCTTATTTTTTAACAACTGTTTGAGATCTTAAACAAATAAAGTTACATTAACTGTTATGTATTGTAGTTTCAGTTGAAATAAATTTCATCATGTCACTAGTTTATAAATTTTCTGACAAAGAAAATGGTGCACTGGATCAAATATTGGATAGAGACGAATTAGGTATGATTCATTCTACAATATAAATAATAAATACAGTAAAGCCTGTCACCTTCAGTTCCTTGTGAAGAAAAGCTCGGCAGGTGTGGAAAAATCTATTAAGATCTAACAATATTTTTGCCTCATTCTTTAATTTAAAATCAATACAACTGCATAAGTAAACCATGATTATTTATATTTCTAATTTAGCAAAAAACTAAATGAAGTTTTTATAAATAATTCATATTTCGGTTTAGAGCAGAGTTTTTCGTTCTCGGCAGCCATTATGATTTACGAACTGCCGAAGCGATTTACAATAACAAAAATCTATTTCTAATCACGTAAATATTTTTGTTGATAATTTATGTAATAAACCACTTACCTAAATCATTATTACAGCCAGAATTTTACATGTAACTGCGGAAATATCTGTAATTTATCCATAACTCACACTGACTATTTTTTGATTTCTTCATATTTGAAATTTACAGGTTTTACTGTATATATATTTTATGTTTTTCTACATTTTTTAGTAGTATGTACAATCATTTAAACAAGTGTTTTTTATCTAACAATCGAGATTTTTTCAGAAACATTTGAAATTAATAAAAAACGACTGAAGAAACTTTACCAAACAGAAAACAGTTATATGAGGTCTTTCTTATGGGAGAATAAAAGAAGAGATTTTCCTCTAAAGCATTATTACGTTAATTTAAAACTGCAGGAAACAGATAATTTTGGTGTTAGTCCAATTGGTGACATTCTTGATATCAGGGATATATTTAGAAAAGTGGATAATGGACATACGAACATTCTTGTATGTGGGGATCCTGGTTCTGGCAAAACTACATTGTGCAAGAAGATTGCGTACGATTGGGCTGTCGATGATCCCTCAAACAATTACATAAATCATTTCGACTTTGTTGCAGTCTTAACATTAACGGAACTTGAAAGTGATAAGAAATTGGAAGATGCTGTTCTAAAAGATATGTTTGAAACTTCACAACCAGAAATAAAGAAAAAAATACGGAGAGCAAATTTAAATGTCTTAATTATTTTAGATGAATACGATGAAGATGTAAATAGTTTTGATAGAACCAAAAATTTTTTAAGAAAGGGTTCCTTTGGTATTTTTCGAAAGTTAACAATTATAGTGACGAGTCGTCCTCACACAGCAGAAAAAGTAAGAGAATACATGAATTTTCGATTTCATCTTCAAGAATTTTCACCCGAACAGCAGGAAGAATACGCGAAGTTGGTGTTCAAACAAAATGTTGATAAAACACAAACATTCCTTAAAATATTAGAAAAAGAATTTTATTTTACTTTGTCTAAAATTCCATTATTCTTGCACATGCTTTGTTGTTTTCATAGCACTAATCGATTAGAAAATATACAAAGAAAGACAGATTTGTATATTTATATAATGCAATTGATTACAAATAGATCAAAGAGAAAACTCGAAATAAATTTCAATGTGCCGATAGGAAAGTATTTTGCTTTGGAAGATATTTTAGTTAGGTTAGGAAAGTCAATTTACGAAAAAAATACCAATGAAAAAGTTCTATTATATCCCTTCGATACGAAACAAAAACTTACAACCGACGAATTAAATGAATGTGTCGGTGATAGTAATAAGACTTTTTGTAATGGTTTGGATTTTCTTTCTCACTGCTTTGACATTGACAATAATCCTTACTTTAATTGCGTGCACGAGTCCATTGAAGAATTTTTCGTTGCCCTGTATTTGTATAAGAACCCTGAAGTACCTTTTTTGAATGTTACTAGCGATTCTACTATACCACATGATATAGAGTTTACAACTTATCATAATTTTATTATGTTTTATTTTGGTTTATTTAAAGAGGAAAATATTCCAAAAACTTGCTTCAAGAATTTAGAAAAAATTGTGTTTCCTTTGCACCTTTCGATAAGGATATACAACGAAATCGACAATGAAGAAGACAAAAAAATATTTTTGAACACAGTTAAAAAGTACGAATATTCTAACAATTCTGGCTGGATTCCTTTAGATTTTTCAGAAATATACTTTATTGTTGACATTTACGAGTCTACAAACGTTACGTTTGAAAGGCTGAATGAACTTCACGGTAGAGTTTGGTTTTCCTGTCAAGTGGAAATATTTATATTTATGAAAATAGAGAAAGAGTTTCTTCGACTGAAAGATATAAGAGCATTGAGAAATGATTGGAGAAATGTGGAGAACATTCGGGATATATTGATAGAAAACACGTGGAACCAATTTAATATACATTTATGTGGAATAATTCAGGTTCCTTTTCGTCTTGAATGTCACATGAAACAGGGAAGTACATTCCCTGCATATTTACTTAAAACTTTCAATTGTGTCGAAAATCTTGCACAAATATTAGTTGATGATGTAAATCAATTATCTTACGAGTTGGTTAGGTTGAAATTTACTACAGAAGATGACACCGAAGACAATTGTTTATTTTTAAACAAGGATCTGTTTGAAAGTATAGAGCCCTATATAAAGTTATTTCCTAATTTATAACTGCATACATTGGAAAATAATGATTTTAAATGATCCTAAATGATCCTTTCAATGCAATAACAAATGCAAGTTGCATTATATAAATGACCTTTCGGCCAATAGAATGTTATTAATTGATATCCATTATAAAAAGATAATTGATGTGAAAATTTATTGTGTTCAAACATAAAAGTCAGCAATCTTTTACCCAAATTACATTTATATATAGGCTACATTAGTGATGTAGATGTCTGGTACGTTCAAAAATATTCGGTATGTTAGTTAATTGTTAGGAGATGGCAGGTGTTCAGTAGAATACTTATTCAATGTAAAGAACTACTGTACATTGACAACTTTATAATTAAAATTAATATTTTTATGCTTATGTTTTCCTATAAAGTATTAAGTTCGGTTAACTCCAGATAATTTAAATGCAAGAAATCCTTGGTATATGTTAATTAAATTAACTATTAATAAACTACTGTATCTTTTAACAATTGCTTTGTATTAAATTTTACAACTTATGTATTTTCGCACTAATTAATAAAGTTCTTTTTATCGTGAATAGAAATTTTAGAGAATTTTGCATCAATCTAAAACTTTGTATGCGAGGAAACTCTTAGTTTCCTGCTGTATTATATACAGACAAGATCGTCGACAGCTCGCTTAGGGTACGGAGTAGCGCGTGCTTCATGTGACATTTATGTTTAACAAATAAATTACGTAATATGACGATGCCTGGTCTTTTAATGGTTACTATAGGAAAAGAATGGGGCGATATGCGAATAACGTCACACCTTATATCTAATCTTTATTATATTACGAAGCTGCTCTGCAGAAAAACATCTATCTTCTTCCTTTGCTAATCTAAACACTAAAAGTAATTCTTCTGACTGATCTACAATGGTCTTGATAGCTTCCTAGCGAGCAAGCCACCTTGTTCCACTGAAGTTTAAATATTTCCTTAGGTTTTGAATTTTCATTTATGGTAGCATACAGACTTTCGTATCGAGTTTTCCGTGTTGAACTATAGGAAAACCAATTGTGAGCATCTCAGACAAGATATTCCAAATGTCTTGATACGGTTTGACATGCTTTTTCTCCTCACAGATGAAGTGAATGACAAACACATCTTACTGAGCCAAGCTTGGAAAATCATCTCTCAACAATGTAGAAAATGACTGATGTCTTCCAATCATGACACTAGCATTGTCAACTCTTATTCAAATTAGGTTATGTAGATTTAAGCCATCTTGCAACAACTGATTTTTAAATGAATTATAAATGTAATCTGCATCACAATCTTCCTCCTATTGAATGAAACCATAAAGGGTTGTGGTGATTTTTTCTTTATTCTGAAGAAATATTTTACCACGATGCACAGAATCTCGGTTGTAGAAATGTCGGTTGATTTATCTATTATTACAGAAAACGGACTGTTATCCATGTCCTTAATCAATTCCTCTATGACTGATGGTACAATAACGTTTTTTAACAGCATCGAACATTTAGTGTAACGACGTTTCAATTCCCCAAAACCTTTAGACTTATCATCAGTTTTAGGTAGTAGGTCTGTTAGATAGTTTACAGTGTTAATACTGCCATGCTCAACAACGAAGACACTCAATGTTAATTTTGCAATTTTTGTTTCTGTATTTATTATTGGCGCAAGTGGCAATTTTTTACTTGATTTGGCACTTTTTTTAATGCAATTTTTTCTTTGTGTTTTCTTGTTTTGGCATGTGCAAGCAAACCTTTTTTGTATGCAATTAAATACAATAACAACAATAAGCATTCAGTGGGTCATCTGTTGGATCAGGAGCTAACCAAGCTCAAAATGAAATTTGCGCAAATAAATATAAAATATAAATTGCTGGTACTTAATTACCTTTTAATTCTTCCAGTTTCTCCCATGTTTTGCAGTATAATTGTATTTCTTTTTGGGCGCCATAATAGTATTGAATAATAGCAAAATTGTTTCTGACCTAAACATAAATTTAATGATTTCATTTATTGAATTAACGATAAATTGATAGAAAATAATTTTTCTGAAGTTCATTATACTAATGCTATTTTAATAGATAAAAAGAAATTATTTACTGTATGGTAACAAATGTAAGTTAATTTGAAATGCCGACTATTTAGCACTGAGAATATTACTTTATTTCTAAAAAACGACAAATTTATTAAATACATTTATTATAAAACAAAACAATCACCACAATAACACAATATAATAATCAATACAACACAATAATCCAGGTCTATAGGTTAACCAACAATTTGCTTTTCTGACAAACAACAGAATAAGTTAAGAAAAAGCATTACATTGTTTTAAATTTAACACTACCCAAACTAGATATTTCACTCCGAACACGCAACACGCCTGCCATAAGTCACAAGAAGGTTCCGCTAGAGGTTCTCAACCAATCAAGGTGTAAATAAGTAAGTCGAAATACCCTTCTGAAGCCGCCATTTTGAGTCGCTTGTTTTAAACAAACTTGTACGTGCAGTCAGTTTTATACGACATTATTTAAACTAAAATAGAATAAAACAGATTACCTGGGTAATCTGCAGATTAACGACTTTCGAGCTTTAGTGGTAACATATAAACATATATACTTATACAGTATCTTTGAAATGTTATAGAGCTAAAGTATGAAATATATGTGGGACGCAGGAGGTATGACGAGGTCGTACCTCTTTTTGTCGGCAACAGCTTGGTGAAAACTACCCACTTGTCAACGGATTGCTTGTTTACTAGTTGAGATCCTGAGAGGATTCCTTTTTTCAGGTCGAGTGGAGGAGGTGAGAGGGGTCGTCGTTAAGGCGTAGGCGAGATGCTAGTAAATGACACCGTTTAACAATTGAAACAATGGTTTATTAGATAACAAATATTTACCATTACAAACTCTAACATCGAGAGATTTTAACTAGGTTCGCTAGCTCCTAATACACGGAGAGAGAGTTCACATTAATTGTTTCATACCTCTAGTATAATTCCACGTAGAAGAAAATATTAAACCTTTTTTCTTGTCGATCGACGCACAAAGTTATAAAGATCATTCAAGACTCAATCCTTTCCGACCAGCCGTAGATCAGAGACTTCTCCGTGGTGGTAAGAAAGAAGTAGCTTTTATAGCTTCGTGGTGGAAAATTCGTCATGTGTCAACTGTTGTGAGAGTTAAAGGTTGTTTTAACAGGTGAGGAGGTCGAAAGGTGTTCCCGGGAACACAACAAAATGACGAATTTGCACTTTAATTGTAAACTTTAAGTCCTGTAGCAGAAGAATGCCATTTGATGTGAAACTTAACACTATGGCCATACAAATAAACCTCGGCGCGTGTCAAACTCGCGACAATATTTATTGCTGAAAGTTAGAGGACAGGGTGCCTTCTAACCGGAATGGTCGATTGGTCAGTTGAAGTTCTCGTTGACCTGGATACGAGGGTAATCAGTTCAAAGTTCACGTTGAGTCTAGAAATCCTTTGTTTGGTGAGTTGGATGATTTATTGGATAAGGTTTACCGTTGGAATGTACGGATACTAACTGTTTTAGGATGTTGGAGAATCGTAGGTAAGTTGATAACACTTGTGGCTGGAAATGTTTTCCTTACCCTTCCTTCTGAGCGAGTTGAGGACACAGAAAAATCGGTTGTAGCGTCACGTGAGTCAGAAGTTTTCCTGTGAAGGTGACGAAGTTGCACTGTTCTTGTATTCAAAAATAAATGTTAGTAATAGTTTAGTTGCTAAAGATTGTCATTGAGTTCGGAATAGAGGTATTTAGATGGATACATCACGCGTTGGTGTACTCTCTGTCGGCAATCTAATTATTTAAGAAAAAGTCCTTCGAAAGATTTAAAAATTCTAAAGATAATATTCTAACATTCGAATTCAAATATTTTTATTATACTCTACGAATATATGAAAATCTATTTCTCATTAGAAAAATATAAACTAAGGAATAAAAGGATTAATATGCAGTTGTTGAGGGACCCTTAATATGATTGAACAATAGGCTTTGGGGTTAGCTGGGCTGGGTCGCCTCGAGGCTTCACTTCTCTGGAAGGGGTCGATTCTGCTCGTGTCCGAGGTTGACCTTTTCAATCTCGTTGACAGAGATTTCTTCCGGTTGTCGGATCGTAAATATTACCATAACTTTCTTTAATAACACTCTGTCTCCCACTCGGTAACGTGGAGGTTTATTTTGTCGGCGGTGTCTTTCTTGTCTTGTCTCTGCCGCTTGTTCAGAATATCGTTGAGCCGTTTGATGTGCGTGTTGCATTCGTTGACGTAATTCGGAGGCGAAGTTCACTTCTATATCGTAAGATATTGAAGCAGGACTCGTAACTAGGTCAAATGGATAAGTCGGGTTTCTTCCATATAAAAAATAAAAAGGACTTTCGTTTGTAGATGCATGTACTGACGTATTATACGCAAACAAGGAGTAGTGGTTGATAAACTTTGACCTAAAAATACCCAAGCCACTTTCCACTTTTCGCAGTAGTCATATAGGGAGACAGAGAACAAGGACTTTACTCATAACTGTTTATATATACGTGAGGGTAAAGTCAGATTTACACAGTTACGTAATAAGAAAAAATACGTAAACAATTAAGTAAGCCGTATCGGTCGTACGGCTCACTAATCGGCGTCGTTTCACGATGACAATCGGGCCCTCTCCCCAGTGCCGTAACTAGGTAGGTGCAACAGGTGCACCCGCACAGGGCCCATTTGGAAGAGGGTCCCAAAATGCACGTGTTTGTTTTATTATTTTCCCAAACATAATTAATTAAGGGGCCTAAATGCAAGTTCTTGCACAGGGCACAGGAATGGCTAGTTACGGCACTGCCTCTCCCCCCCGGCTAAGTAATTAGAGAGGTAGTGTAAATAATGGCAATAACTTCTCCCCCGCTCTAGCTAGAGAGCTGCAGTTTGTTTTGTTTAAAAGAAGACAGATGCGTCTAACTAACAGACGTACAAAGTTTAGCGAATCTCTGTAAATTAATTTCTTTTTCTATTGTTCGTGAACTTCGAAATTTTAATATTATTTTAAATTTGTATAAAACTAAAAATTAAACAATCGTAAAGTGTAATATGTTTTTAATCAAACACATAAAACAGATTAAATACAGCGCGATTTTGAAGCGAAATATCTCGATTTAAATAATTATCCAAAAATTCAAAAAATGCGCCGAATGACGAATTTCACTGATTTTTTTAATATGAGCCGGAAAAAGGTTAAAGAATACAGTAGACCTCCTATAAAACGGGTTCATATAGTTCGGATTCCTATACGACGGCGAAAAAATTGCGACCGTATTCTTACAAACACGCTAAAAAAACTCGTATAATTCGGTAAAACGTCATCGCCGACTCGTGTCGCGACAGGATTGGTCGAATCTAGACCAATAGCGGATATTGCACAAACCGTTGAGTTTAAACGAGCAGCGGACCTACTACATACCATTTATTATTTAACGTCCATAAAAATT